ATGTCACGAAACCTGGAAAAGTTGGAATAACATGACAAAAGAAATAAAAACATCATCCACAATTCCATGATTTACATCATTACCATTTTGGTGTATATTTTTCTATACACAAGCACTCAAATATTCATCAAACTGGGATCATTCTTACTCCTTTTATAATCTCATTTTTTGCTTGAGTCATGCAGATATCTTCCATGATGAGAAATACATTTATCATTTTTTATGGCTTCTTAGTATTCCAGCCTAGCATATCATGCCATAAGTAGTTCAAGTGTTCCTTTATTAGTGTCCATGTGTACTCTTTCTAGTACTATAGACAAGGCTGCATGAACATCCTTGTTTATGTATCTTTGGACTCTCAAAAGTGGGGGTGGCTCCATCACAACATAGTGTCCCAGCGTAGTCCATGGCATCAGAGTCCCAGATGGCAGAATTCCAGGTTTCCAAGGTGCCCAGAGAAACTCTTCCTGGGTGTCGGGTGTCTCAGGAGCTAATGTGCTCTGTTGGGATGATGAATCCGAAATGTTGCCAGTTTCTTCTCACCACGCTTGGCCTTATCCCAACTTTGCAAATCTGCCCTTTTGGGGCCAGTAGGACCACTGAGTCCTACTCCCGGGTGATTCTTTGTATTCCAATCCTCGGAGTGAAAGATTATTCTTTGACAGAATCCTTAACTTCAGCTGCTTCCACAGTATAGTTTAACTGCTGTGGTGTTACCTGAGTGGCTCCAACCGAGCTGCCGTTATGTTCAAGCCCTTAAACTTGAGTATCTTTCCTGCTATGTATAGAAATCCACAAATCTGACTTACCAGTAACAAGTTCCCTAGAATTAACCTTATTTAAAAGAATGCCATAGTCTTGCACCTCAAAGTGTAGTCCTCAGATCAGTATCAGCATCATCAACTTACTAAATCAAAACTCTGTAAGTTCGAGAAGCACTGCACTATCTTAGTTTAAGGAAGGCCCAACTGAATCACATCCTGGAAGGCTAGGATTAAAGCTGGACTTCAGGTCAGCGCCTCCTGAATTTTAAGGTGCACACAGATTCCCTGGAAAACTTGATGAAATGCTGACTCTAATTCAGTAGGTCCGGTTGGGAGCCCAAGATTTTGCATTTGTAACTAGCTCCCAGGTGATGCCAATGCTGTTGGTCCTTGGACCACATTTGAGTAGCAAGAAGATAGCAGTTCTTAAAATCTGTCGGACTGTATTACCTGAGGCACTTGTTAAAATTACAGATTCCCTGGCTCCACTCTGGACTTGCTAATTCAGATTAATCAATTCTTCAGGTGACTTTGGCAATTAGATAAATTTAGGAAATACTGTGGTGGAGATCAGAGTTAAATGTGGCCTCTAGGAGATGAGGGGATGAGGTACTGAAAAGCAGCTGAGAGAGACTTGGACACCCATAGACATGCCTTTGTTGCTCACCTCCAAACGGGAGGGGGGCGTCCGAGCTCCCACTAGTGGTCATATCAGGTCAGGATTTGCCCCTGCGTTGATGTATAGCAGAGCCTCTTCGTTTCTTTCTCTAGTGCCTCTTGAGTGTTTATAGCATTTTCATGAACTGTAAATCAACCCCAGACTCTCTGAGCACAGACTTTCAGCACCATTCCAAGAGTTCCCAAAAATGCCATTCATGAAGTGTTGGAGCCAGACTCACAGATTCTGCTATTGGTTCCACCAAGGAACTGGCTCTTTGAGCAAACAAAACACAGCCCAACATCGCATGGGAATCCAGAGGTTCTTGGAAGAGAAATGAGAATGTAGGGAGTGATTGCCTCTGTGGACTCTGAGTTTTTGTCCACTCTTTGGAACTCATAATTTGATTCCTGTTGCTATCAACACATCAACCTACAGGGTGTGCTGATTCTCCTTTCTCACTAGCTCTAGTGCAAACAAAACAAAAGCTACTAATTCATTTATTCATTCATTTGACACGTAATTGTGGAGCTCATAATTGCCAAGTACCTGGCTAGATGCTACGATTCAAAGGATCGAGTCAAGTGACATAAAGTGCTTATAACAGTGTCAGATATAAAGCAAGCATTAAATATGTGAACTCTTCCAAAGGCAGGGAAAGGTGAGATATTTTGCTCTAGTTGTTTAAGACCCAACTGATGGGTCCTGCTTCTTGCTGCAAGTGCTGACTTGTCTTTCTCCTTTGAACAGATTAACTCCATGTTGAGTCAAGAAAGATTCATTGAAAGAAAGGAATAAAATACACAGATATAGTGTTTTTAAAAACATTTTTTAATGAAGAAATAATTCCATTCCAAAATATAGACACACAATTAAATAGTTTAATCACTTCAAAATATAACATGTCCCCAGGAGGTTCCAGCACACGCACACACACACACACACACACACACACACACACACACGAAACAATACTTAACAGCAATACAAAACAAAACAAAACAAAAACCATATAATAGTAGTTTTGTTACAATACCAATGAATATTGTGAAATCTTTAGTGTCTCTGAATTGGTTATTTCAAATGGTGTCAAATGACAGTATTCATAATTAAAAACGCTTTATGTTAATTAGCCTCAAGATGGAACATTTCTGATTTTTTTTCTCTTTTTGGTTCAAAAGTAAAAAGGCCCTTTCTTCTGAGGACACAGTGGAGTTCTTGTTTGTGGCTCCTTGCGTGGAATCAAACCAAGGTGATTGCAGCAACCAAAGGTGCCGTATTTACAAGGTCTCTCTACAGTTAACAGCAAAGAACTAATAAAGGGTGGACAAAGATGATCAAAATAAAAGCAGACATCAGTGCTAAATTATGATGCGACAGTTTGGCTCATGCATATAAGAAAATACATAGTATATCACAACAAAGGCCACACTCTTATGCAATTCAGTTCACATTACTACTTACAAATGAACCCTCCCTGCCTTATAGAGATCACTCGAGAATCCATTTTTCACAATCTCCAGCACATCTCCCTCTGACCAAACGAACTTACCCCGACTTGCGTCCTGACCAACCGCAACTGATTCCTGAATCTCATACAGTAGATTTTGCCCTCCTCCATCCCTCCCTCCCTCCCTCCGCATGGCGCCATGGGGGAGGTTGGCTGTGTTAGACCAGTGCTCATTAATAGGCCATCGTCTGTGATGGAGATGGATGTGCAATTTATTGTGGAATAAGAAAGAAATAATCCCCGCAAGATATAACTATCTCCTGGATGGGACAGGTGAAACCTGCTGGGTTTGCACTTAGAACAGGTCCCAAAAGTAAATTTGGAGAGCCAAGGAAAGAAACCCCCCCAAAACCACAAAACCCCAAAACAATATACGCCATTTTGTCTCGGTTACAGGACAGGGGTGCTTGAGTCTGGTCTCAGTGCTGACGTGGAGCTAAGGGAAAGAAAAGGTGGCTGGTTAGTCACGAACTGGTCAATGGCGGCACTTTCCGGAGTCCTTGCAACGGCTTGTACCATGCTATCGACAACCGTGTCACGGAGTTGGCAATGAAAACTACGACAAGGGGGACGGTTATCAGCAAAACGGCTCAAACCTTAGACAAGTGTTCTGATGCAGAGACACAGAGTGACAACAGATGTCAGCTCAGTCCAGTCAGGGGCTGAATGCCACTTGCAGGATCCGAGTTCCGAGTTCCGGAACTACCTGGCTATAAGTTAGAGCTGACAGCAATGTAGGTAGCTGGCATGGAGTGGTTTTAAGTACTGAGTATGAGGCACGAGGGGCCACCTGCCCCATCTAGAGAGGTATGGTTTCACAGACGAGGGGCAGTGGAAAGAAGATGAACATTAAGATAAACCAACAAAACTCATAATCAAATCCATCTGTGCAGAGAAATCTGAGAACTGTGCAGTTGTGCCCCTTTGGTGTCAGCCTGCTCTCAGGGACATTTGTCAGGCTGCTTCTCTGGGGAAGTATGAAAAAGCGCATCAACGGACAGAATGGGCTTCTTACTAATGCCAACTGAGAGCTTTGCTATCCCTGAGGCAAGTGATTTTGTTCCAAAGGGCAGCCAAGGACATGGTTTCTGACCAGATGCAGAGACACGACCAACTCAGAGCCCTCTGGAGAGGGACCTGGAAGGTCTCAGGATGTCTGTTCTCAGCTGGGCACACACCAACCACAAACTGTGTGGGGGTGGGAGAAGGTTTCTGCCAGCCCGGGAAGCAAAATCGAATTGCTGAAGCTTTGAGCTTGACTCGGAGCCTTTCTTGCTTATTTGGAATAAGGCCTTTTTAGAGATTTTTATATGCAACTTTATTCCAAAGCCGTGGTTCTCAACCTTTAGCATGCATCAGGAATCACCTGGAGGGCCTATTAAAGTACAGATGGCTGGGCCCAATCCCCAGAGTTTCTGATTCAGCAGGCCGGGGTTGGGGTTTAAGAATTTGCATTTCTAAATAAATTCCCAAAGTGATGCTGATGCTGCTGGTCCAGGACACACGCTTTGAGGGCCACTGTTCTAAAACGATGTCCTCGCCTTTCTTTTAAAGGAGATAGGAATTCCAGAGAAGCTGCCGATTTAAGTATAACATATTCAATATGTTGCCGGATTTTTATTTCATCCAGTCTTGCACCAAGTAGATTATGTTTTCATTTCCCCAGACTCCCTAAGGGAGGTCTTTAATGCTCCCCGACAAGGGCCCTTATAAAGGACCATCCACAGAGGCTTTCATTCTTCCTTCTTTGACCGTGCTTTTGCACATCAGCTTTTCGCTGAGTGCAAAATCCCAACGCCACTTAGAAGAGCCCGTTTCCTCTCCCATGACCACAGAAGGCTGCATGCAGAACACCAGGTAGCCAGCTAAGGCAATAAACATTCAGAAATAAAAGGAGAGGGAGTGTTTGCAAGCACACTTTAAGCCTGTACATTTAAAGCTGAAGGCCTCTAGACAACCTGATAGGGGAAGCTGTGGACGAGCGGTGTGGTTAGACATGCTCCCTAAAGCTAAAACGAGACGGACGCACCCATGGGAGAGCAGAGATAACTTGAGTCCGTTTGGAGATCTTATGGCACCTGTGGTTTATAAACAGCTTTAGCAACGAGTATTTCAAAACATAGTTCACAGTTTTTAAGAAGATCTGTGCTGATTTTAAAAACTAGATTCTATATCATTTGAATGTTGCCTTTTTTTTTTCTTTTTGAATATGATATCTATTTGGAAAAAATATTTACACTAAATTCTATGGCTGATTTGTTAGAGTATCTTGAAAGAAAACAACCCCAAGTTGGAAAGAAGCCCCAAAGGCTGGATTATCCTGGTGTGATTGGTTCAAGTCACTGCTCACAGAGACTTAGAGACAAATGCAGACAGTGCAGGCCAAGGACCCTTCTTGGCTTCCAGGCTCTGAGTTTGTACACTCAGGTACCAAATCCTTCGGGGTTAGTGAATAATTGCAAGTGGTTGTTTTTTTCCAATTGCTGTGGAAAAAAAAATGTACAGTGTATAATAAACTGGTTCGCTAAAATCTCAAAGAATTCAGAAATCAAACATCTAGCTACAAACAGTATTAATATTGTCGTTGTAAACGGAACAGGTTCAATATCATGTGCAAAGGCTTAAAATGCTTGTTAATACTGCCATCGTAAGAGCAGTGTGGGTTTTCAGCCTGTGGGTTTTCCTTTCCCTGTGTATGTGTGGTGGTGGTTGCCGTTTTTGTTTCTAATCAGGGATGAGCCATGTTACAGAAGATGTAGCTGATAAGTTAGCTTCGAACAGGAGTCAGAAGTCTTTTTTTTTTTCCTTCGCAAAACACACACCTACGAACTACGAATCTTAGAACGAAAAGTCAACTGCACTACAGTCGGCAGAGCGCGTCTCTAAGGGTGGGGGTCTGTCAGGAGCTGCTGTGCGGGCCGGCACCTCTGGGCGCTGAGGCTGCTCCTGGGCCGGTGTCTTCTCCTCTGCGGGGGTGGGTGCGGGGCTCTCCTTCATCACCAGCTTGCGTGTTACCTTCATCATCTGTCTGACTATAGCTTGCCTGGGAATAAGGAATGTGTAGTTTTTTTTTTTTTTTTTTTTTTTAAGATGAAAACTGTTCTCTAAATTAGGGTTTCAAAACTTAGGATTCCCCCAGCCCCCCGACACACACATATTCACACACTCTCTCTCTCCTCCCTTCCTCTGACAATAGGGAGCAAATGTCCTGGGACATGGTATGCTAATAGTCTTTCTGAAAGAGAAGATGGGCATCCTCTGCGTTGGGTCCCTGGCTTAATGGGTACCTAAGGCATCTGGAGGGTTAAAGCAACGCAGAAATGTTTGTGCTGTCCTCACCTGACAAGCAGATGAAAACACTAATCTACCATCGAAATGCCATGGTAATTAGAAAAAAAAATCCACTTTTGATTGTCCAAGCCCCCCATTTCTGAAGTTAGGATGTGGCTGGCTAAGGAGAGTGGTGTACCATATGGGGAGAGGGATGGAAAAGGGATGAATCCAAGATCTGAGTCTGCCAAATGGAGTTTTGGTGGATTCTTAAGTTGAGGGTTAAATATTACATAGACTGCATTTCTTCCAAAGGGGCTAGTTGAGAGGCAAGGTTTTACTCTGTTCACTCCTGTTAGTATCAGTGAGTGCATACTTATCTTCAAATAGCTCTTTTTGAGCAGAGAGTGGGTCTTCTATTTCTCTGGGGTCCCACCCTCTGCCCTGGTGGACACCTAACTGACTTGCAGTGATGAAGTTGGCTTCCGGACCCTTGGATAAGAGATGCACAGCTTTGGGGCAATTTCTGGTCTTGTTTGGGTCAGAAAACCCAAACAAATCAATTTCAATAGCATAAACTGTTCCAAGATTTCAGCTCTATTTCTCGGCTACATCGAGAAAAATTATACTAGGATAGAACTAGCTGAAAAGATGAAAAGCCACTGGCTTCTGGATTGATCCGTAAAGTTTTAAATACATTTTGCTTAAGTGGCTGATTTCATGACAGGCTAGTTCACATGTAGAGTCCCATGGAACACCAGCTCGGTAGGTATATGATGGAGTAAATGGCAGAGGCCACAACGGTTTCAATTTTCCACTGTCAAATTGACAACAAAAGTTGAAAACAGTGGCTGAAGAACTTTTAGAGCACTGAAATCTTTGGCTTTTATGTAGAAGAACCAAATGCCATTTCTTATCTGAGTTTATGTCAAGGACATTTCATTAGTTTGTTTAAGAAAATATTTTTCTAAGAACTAGTGACTGATGGTTAAATAATGTGCAGAATAAAAATGATCCAGTTGCTGGCATGAAGAGAAAGAAAATGCTGTGAAAGGAGAGGCTTGCTCCTTTGGGACTAGATTTGTTATAACGGGAGTAGATGTTTTCAGAAACAACTCCTGGGACTTGTTTCTACCGTGCTCATCATGATTCAGGAGAGCATGTGCTGTGGCATTCTCAAATGCAAGGGAGGGAGACTAGAATACAGTCACATCCTTCTTTTCACACCAAAAGGGCTTCAGAGCTCATATATTTCATAATAGCAGTTATGCCATGATTTCTGCTTGCTTAATCCTAACCCGAGAACTGAGACAGGAGGTCAGTAATGCATGAGTGAAGATGTTTTCTTTGCAAGTTGATTTGTCATTTTAGATCCCTTTTTAAATTTAGCAGCGAGTTGACTTTACTACCAGCTGTACTATAGACTTTTGGGAGTCCATGGTTGGGAAAGACTGTATCACTGAAGGAGATACAAATCCTTGGGCCCCTACAGCCAGAGACTCGGAAAGGTGTATTTACTCGGAACCGTAATGGGGGACAGCCAAATGGCCATCAGCCGGAGCCAGAGACACCATCTAGACTTAAGAGACAGTGTAGCCAAAAGTGTATAAAATCATTACACATAGCTGAGTCCTTAGCTTTGTCTATAAAAATACAGAGAGCAAGCTAGTTCTGAGTCCTGGGGGGTGGGGGTAGGGTTCCCCATACACTTACATAATAAGTCTAGCAGCTCCCCACGATTGAATTGCTTGCAAAGCACTGAGCACAGTGCCAGGCACGTCTGTGTGGGCTTATCATAAATTATGGTGTGTTTGCCACCATGTTAAGCTCTTTATAAACTACATCCCAGTGAGGACAACTCCACTATGAGGTAAGTATTATGATATACATTGTGCAGAGGGAACAGAAGTTCAGAGGGGTTTAATCATTTGTCAGGGTTGTGCGACCACGATTTGGTGGAACTCCTATTTGAAATTAGGTCTGCCAGAGTCCAGCGTCTGAGCTCTAGACCGCTACCGTCCAGGGGTCCTGCCAGTCAAGTGCTATTCTCTCTACATTAAACACATGACTGAGGATTTTCCATGTATGTTGGTAGGTCCCTGGGGGTGGGGAATCACATGCCATGTAAATGACATTTTAAATTAAACTGTATCTTGCTGAATTCCACAAAGAATTTGAATCAGCTATTCCAAAAGTATAAGGCTGCAGAAGTTGTCCTCTCTGTTTTGCTTCTTTTGTTTTCTTTAATAATACACGGTTTTGCCTTCACTCGTTGAGGTGCACACATTTGATCTCTGGGTCCTGAATACAGTATGCCTCTGAGGCTGGCCCATCCCTGCATGTGCTGAGCATGCCTGGACTTTTCTTTCTCAAGTGATAGAGAGGCTGCAAACTCAGATGCTGTTAGGGACTGGTGATGAGGCACCACAGCCCCGAGGATCTCTGGGGCATCTCTGGCATTACAGAAATTTCTATGCCAATTTTCCTAATTAATAGAGTAAAAAGTCAATTCCCGAGGTTGTCTGCCAAATCTCCACTGGGTTATAATGAAATGCTCCATAGGCCAGGATGATTCTTTGATATCAGGAGGGAAGGAGGATATTTATCACATAGAACACAGAAACAACCTAAGAGAGAGTGATTGTGATTTTAGGTTACTAGTTATCAGAAGTCAGTGTATAGTGGGCACGTTTCCTCCTAAATAAGACGGTACTTACTTGAGAGGAGAGTGATAAAAGGATATTGTATTCAACCTTGCAAGCTGACCTGCGGGTGACAAAGGACACAAACAAGAAAGGTGACATGTCAAGTCCGTGATGCAGTCAAGCTTGTGAATTATTTGGTTGGAAGCCATGCAGAAGGACAGAGAGTGAGAGAGTCCGATGAATGAAAACAGCATTCTGACCCATCAAGCAACCATACGCTCACAGAGTACTCAAGGAAAGTCACTTCAACGTTCTCTAGGGCATATGCCTTGAGTGGGGACACACAGGCTTACTGTGGTCTCCTACACCTTGTCTTTACCTTTCCCTTGAAGTCACTGGGCATGGAAAGGAAAGGAGGGAAAGAGCTTAAGATCAACCAGAGATGGCAAAAACTCCAATTGCATCTTAAGCTTTTAATAGAATTTCCCCTCATTTTACTCACATAAGGTTAAATTCTTAATTCATTAAAATAAACACAAATCTAATATTTTATATGAAATGATGGTTTCCCTTTAAAAAAAAAATCTAGAATTTCAGTTACTGTTGTCACCAACATCCAGAAACTGATATGGGTTTGAAGAGGGAGTCCTAACAGGCGCCCCTAACAGCATGAACCAGAACATTGATTATTTCATCACATCTCTCTCTCCCTCTAGGCAGCAGAGTCCAGTGAAATGCATGTTGGAATGCCATCCCTTAGAGTTCCCAGAGACACCCTGGCAGCTTCATCCAGGCTAATTTCCTTCCATGGACAGGCCACAGAAGTGGCAAAATAAGAGCATTCTCCATGGTTCTCCACTTCAGGCAACTTTGACCGTTTCTGCAGTGTTGAAGCATGGCTTTACATATATAGTCACTGATTTTTTTTCTTTTTTGGGGGGTGGGGGTGGGGTATGACGAGGCCTACATTTCAGTTGCTTCTGAAATATGGTTGTTAAACCGAAAAGGCTAATGGAACATTCCAAAGAGGCCAAACTTTTGTTTTATATTGTTGGGGTGGGGTTGGTAGGCTTCAGTTTCTTTCTTGCTACATTCTTCTTGGGAAAATATTTCAAAACAATCTGTACACATATGAGAAGTAGAGGTAATGTATTCACTCTGCTTCTCTTTCCTTCACTAATGGGAGTAAGAGAGGGCCACTGCTCGTCTAAGAATGTGGAGGAAGCTTGTCTGGCCATTGGACAGAAAGACCGACATGAAGAAATATCCCATGGGGCCTGGGGGTTGGGGCAGTAGGTCTCAACCAGGCGAACATCCCTGAGCTCCCAGAACCTCAAGAAAACACCTGTGAATTACAGGGAAGAGAAACATACAAGCAAGACCAACAGGGCAGTAGAAAAATCTCCATGGGGAAAATGCATCCCCTTTAGGATGACTTACTAATTACACTTATTCCCAGTTGAATGTGTTATGTTTGGTGAATTCTCAGCTGGATTAATAATACACTCCAGTACATATGAAAATCTGTCCATCCATACCCTGCTGAACGCGGGGCTTACAGTTCCTCCTATCTTTCTTGGTGAGATTTGATACTCTCCTACTTATTTATTTTGACATGAGGTGGGCAGTGAAGGAGGATGAAGACAAAATGATTCAAGGGACGAGATATATTTATACTTACTCAGTTTCCTTGGGCCTTGTTCTCTGTATCTTTTTCTAAAATTTATTTTTATTTATTTTTTATCTATGAGAAAACGTATTTTTCCCACTGAACTTGGAAGAGTACAGATTGTTGGTCACCACGTTTCCCCTAAAGGGACACGGTCTTTCTCACTTACCAGATCAGAATTTCCAAGAATTCATGGTGAGAGGCATAGCTCTAAGAAGTATTTACAATTTTTACAACGGTCTAGAATATGTGGAGTAAGGAATGCAATCAGAATATTCTGGAGAGGGAGGGTAGAAGAAAGGAGAAGGCATGGGTTTTCTGAGTAATGTAAAAGACCCAGCTACCAAGGGGTGGGGGGCTGGGGGCCGGGGGTGGGGCCTGACTCCCCATACCTGGTAGGCTTCATCCTGCAGCTTCTGTTTCAGATACTCCTCCATCTTGAGCTCGTTCTCCAGCTGCTGGACTGAGTCATTTTCATAGTTCTCATCCTCTGGCCGCACGTAGGGGTCCCCATCTTCTGAGGCCCTGGGAACAGACCACAAATTGTGTTTGGGAGCAAATCTTAAAAGTAGGAGTAGAATTCATGTGTTAGCTGTGGTTTTGGGTCCCATTTACTGAGTGCCCTAATTTGCTTCTTGGCTTCAATTCACTTCAATTCAAGGTCTTCTGTTACCTAACAGAAAATTAAAAAAACAAAAACAAAAACAAACAAAAAAAAAAACCTTTGGAAGTTTGGAGAAATAGATGATCAAGAAATTCTCATATGTAATTTTTCTATGGCAGTCTGATATCATTGGTCATCTGTGTTTTCCTCTGGTTTACAGGAATGAATTGCCTTTAAAGAGTTTGTCAGTCTTAAAAGAAGCAGTCTTATCTTTTGAGAGGATATCATTTTCCCAATCTTTGGGCTTTTTTTTTTTTTTTTTTTTTAATGGAATCCAAGAACACTTTCTATAAGGAAAGTGAGCCCTCTAGTGAAATGATGATTAAGGACATTTGTTCATAATTTACCCCCCTTTGTGTTATGCACATATGTAGGGATATGCACCCATGTACTTTATTTTTACAGTAGAATAAGTCTTAGAATATCAGCTCATGGCTGTCAGGAAGGTAATACTTGAACCCATGGCTCTTGATCTTAAAAATTTATACTAGTTAATCTAAGAAATCCACTCAACTTGTTCAATTCTATCATGAGATAAATAGAGAAGAATGATCTCATTCACTAATGTGTGACTGTATTTGAATCTATCCATCCCAGTTTATAAAAACGCTTCCTGAGACTAAACATAAATTCACTACCTAAATCATAGGACTAAAATATTCTCAGAGTAAAACCCAGTATCTGTTTAGATAGTACAGATATTAAGACATCCCCTAAAGTGAAGAGAGTGGTCAAGGAGAAGTTTCTGGGTTGGAACTTAAATGCCATTGTTCATATTTATTTATATCTGTACAACATGTTCGCATTATTTTTAGAGGTTTGGGGCCAGCCTAAATAGGTCTGCAAGGCCTCTGTGAACTTTCCCTTCCCAATTCCTCCGGCCAGTTGGTAGCTGGCACTGTCACCAGCATGCGGGGGACAGCGGAGTGGGGTAGATTTAGCTACAGTCTTGGATTTTTGGATTAGAACAAGAAAATTTTAGGTGACCACATGTAAATGCTTCATTACGAAAAGTCAGACAGATATGTTACTTACCAGACTAAACTGAGGACAATGAATTCACCATTTTGAATATAAAACAAGTCAAATAATTCTAAATTATAGAGGAAAGGACAAGAAAGCAAACTAAAATTAAAAGTGGCAGCCTACTGCTATTTAAAATTATGTCAGAACTGTTTTGTTTGGATCTCTTGGCCTGCCTTTTCACCACTGCTTTCAAACCACATCTATTTATAGGTCCTCATTATTATTGGTGGACTCACTACTTGGATTGAGATCCAACAACACCCGAAAGGCCTCTGGTTAGTTTCTTCTTTGGGTCCTGAAAATGGCCAGTTTATTTTTGTAGACTAGTCTGCAGCATTTTTCACGTTAAGCACCATCACCTTCCTAGTTTGTAATGCTCAGTGGACCCCTTTGCAACCCTCTGGTGAGCCTCTCTGCCCACGTTTCCCACTGCTGCATGAGCCCCGCTCTTTCGAAGGCTCCTTTGCTTCCCTGCCTTCCTCCCCACCCAAGCTGGGCTCAGCAGGTCTGTCCCAGCTCCTCCCCCTTTGCTTCTCCGCTTTGGTTTCCGAGGCCTTAATACTTGGGAGTTTGAGCTGATCCAGGGACACGGATAAATCTAGGGGGGAGGTCACTGATTCTGCTGCTTTCTGTCAAGCTACAGAAGCCTAATTGGATGAAAATCTTTGCAAAATGCCTTTCAAAGGTCAGATTTATACGTACTCAACAAGCCAACCAGATTGGATTTCTTTAGAATGAGGTTTTAGACATTTACTGATTTCAGTGCCAAGTGCTTATATAATGTTGTTTACACCCATTCTGAATAGAGGCCTCTCTAGCATCACTTGGTCCTCTAAGGGCAAATACAGTACATTTAGAAGATAGGATGATTTATCTCCTGAATGAGTCTGTGAGTCCCGAAGGCAGAGAGCGATTTTTTGGTACTGTTTTGTATACAACTAGCACCGTGCCTTGGGCGCGCCAGGCTCTCAACAAGCACCACGTGGTTTTCGTGATTGCGATTCTTGATACAGTGAGGGGAGGAAAAGTCCCAACACCAAATTTAATGTAGCACCCTTCTACCTCTTCTGGCAGAAAAGGAAACTGCACCATCCCATTCCGAATTAAAGAACGGAAGCAACCATGTTACTATTTTCCTATCTTCCCTACAGAGTGTTGTGTTACTGAGCAAGGCCCCCAGCCGAGGATACTCACACGTCACTGCGCATGGTGCTGGGGGTGGCGCCGCCGTGGAGGTACCCAGGTTTTCGGGCGTGGATTTGCGCTAGAAAAGCCTTTTCAGAGGTTGGCGATGGAACCAGATCCTCAAACTGAGTCCGTGTAAATTCAGAATCCACGTTACTCTCTGTTTCACTCCCCACCTCTATTAGGTACGATTGAAGAAATGGAGAATTAGATTTTTTTTAAGATTGGCAAATAAGGGGCTGAGCTTAACATAAGTCAACCTGTGCTGTGGAAAACATTAACCAGTTATGGCACATAAGTCAGGTGAGTTTATTATTATTTTTTTCCAAAATGACATTTGATACTGACATGAATTTCTAGAAAACCATTTGGTATACAGTATTGTCTTTTTTGAGTCTCAATCATACTGAGGAACTTTTGTGTTGACTGACTTAATTTCTTAATACTTCTGTTTTGCCCCTTTTACAAAAGTCTTCACGAAAACTGCTCTTACTTTTGCTTAATATTACTTGAATTTAGGAAATACAAACCTAAAATATTACATTCACTTAACACCTCAAAGTATTGTGAGTATAAACTAATAGTATTTGAAGCTTCCACAATGAGAATAACATTTTAGTCATCATGTGCTAGGGCAGTGGGTATACTCCATTAGTCAATATGTATTAACTACTGCCATTTTTATCCTACTTGGTAATCTTCATTTAGACTAGCAGCAACAATTTTCATTACTTTAATTCTTATAGAGGCTTTAAGAAACTTAAGTCCAGAATTTTTTTTAATATTGACTTTTCTTACAATTGTTTAATCTCAAACTTTGTGACTGTCAGACAAGTATCTTGCTAGGTGGGCTTAAGGAACAGAAGAGATGTATTAGTAACTGGTAAGATATTTATTTGCATATTCATGCTGTTAAAGTTTTAAAAACTGTGTAGTATTATTAGAATAAAGAGTCCCTCTCAATGTCATGCTATTTTCTGAGATCTTTCTTTGGACATATTGCAAAGGTAAATTTCAACTTAGCCTCATTCAAATAGCCATGCATTTCAAATGAACAGAGTTTAAATGAGTAAACAAAATATTTGACTTTATAAAATAACTTTAGCATCATGTCACTTTGGATCATATTACAAGTTACAAATACTAGATATTACAAAACCTAGAATTGCAAGTCAATTTTAGTATATTTCTTTACTCCTCTCTGCATTTTTCAAAATTTCTGCATTGACCATGTATTAATAGTCTTCCAATCAGCAAAAAAAAAAGTACTAAAAAATCTGAATATACGAATAAAATATCACATCAATCTTTAAAATATCTTTTTCTACTTGACAATGAGGAGATCTCTAACAAAGGCCCCTAGCACTTATGGGTCCCTCTGCAGTGAGCAAACAGGGGGCTGGGGACTCACCGGAATTCAGCTCTTTCACGAGAGAGGACATGGTGTTCGTGATGGAATCTGCTGCTACTAGTAAGTCATTCCTTAAATTTCTTCTTGAACCTTGAGTGAAGAAGAAATGATAATTAAAAAAAGAAATCACAGCTTTTCCTTTTTATTTATCATTTACATTGATAATCCTGAAGCAAGAAAACTTCTAAGACTTCTCCTTTTCAGAAGTGCTTTGGCTCATTTTCTGAAACAATACATTGTACTTAGGGCAGTGGCCACTGATGAGGGAGGGGTTCATTTAATTTATTGTACAAATCGGGACAAATTTGTGAGGAAAGGGGGCGGCATGATAATAAAACTAGGTGACCTGGCACAAAGTGGGATGGTCCCAGGCCAACTAGTATCTATGGCCACCTTTTTGTAGGAAAACTCACACAGATGTAAAGTCTGGTTTTGCCTGGAGAGCTGCACCTTGCTAGCTGCTGTTAGTTTCAGCCACGACCTGGCAGCTGAGCCTGGGATCCTGATCTCCATCACCACAGCCTCTGTCTCTCATCAGGGTTCCCAGAGTTCCCCTACCATTGTAGCTATCTCTGGGGAGCGGGAACGCTACACACTGAATGCCCTAGAGCGTGGGACAGGGGTGGGGATTCTTGCACCTGATGCAAGACCATGGCAGAAGATGTACGCCCTGTACTCTGAATTGCAACTCAGACTATGGTCCTGCGTGGTAGACAAAGATTACAATGATGTTTCAGGCACACAAAGGGTTAAATGGGTATCTGTGGGCTGGCTTGGGTGTGAGGTAACACCTAACATCTTGGAGAAAAAGGGCTCAAGATTCCAAACACCTCACTTGCCGCTGAACTCATGTAGCATGAGTTCTTTGGGAGCTAGGAGCTGCCTCCAAGCTGTGACGGTTCATCCTGTAGTTTCTCAGAAAATAAACCCAAGGAAAATAATAAATACATGTAAATTAAACAAAGTAGTCAGATAAAACAATGATAACTGAAAGCTCAATTTAAAATACTGTAAATTTCTTCAAGATGATTAGAGAAAGGACCTTTTTCCTCCTAAAAATGAAAAAAAAGGTTATTTTGTATAACTTATTTTCTTTCTCAGAAGAAAAAGGCCTCTTATGGATCTTGCCCTCTCCCTCAGAGCCGAGAGTACATCATTCTCTCCCTTTAAAATGTAAGATTCTATCCCCATACACAACGCATGGGAGTGTCTCTTTCCTCACACTCTTGCTATCTCTGCCTATTACTAATGTTGAACTTTTTTTTTAATCTGCTAGGCGAGAGGTGATATTTGTATTTCTACAACAGTTTGTGAGATTGGACATCTTTTTATATCTTTATTGGCAATTTATAGCGCTTCTTCTGCCCATATCCTTCACCTGTTTCTGTTTTGGGACTTTTTCTTATTGGTCTCTATATGCTTGATGTGTAGCTGAAATTGTGAAACTTGATTGCCACATACACTGGAAATGTTTTCCTCGGCCTATTTTTTGTCTTTTGACTTCACTTACTTATTATTTATTTATTTTTGCCTTAAAACTAGTAATCGAATATATCTCCCCTTTCCTTAGATCTGTATGTGAGGACCTGGAAGGATGTTCATGATATATTGCTAACTTAAAGAAAATGCAAATTGCAGACCACAATGCAATGCATGGTCTCGTTTGTGTGGAAAAGAAGGTAGGTGTTTATAAAAACACACGTAAACATACATACTTATGTATAAAGGAAAAGTTGAGAAGGACCAAACTGTTTAATAATTTGGGAATGAGACTGGCAGGGTGAGAGTCTGTAGGAGGATTTTTTTTTGAACTTTCTATAGATATAAAAAGCGATAGCAAGAAAAAGTTTCAAAAGGGTTAAAATACTTCCAAATGAACAAACTCATTGGCCTTGAGGACCCCCCTCCCCCCACCCGTGGTGTGTGAAAGGAAAAGGCAGCAGGGGGGAGAGCACTGTTCTATTTATCACTCTCTGTGCTCCCCCCTTAACTACGGAGGCTGAACCCCCCCCCCCCCCCCGTGGCCCCACGTTGCAGAGGCAATGACTCAACTCTTGAGCGCAGCTGTAAAATGGCGAAGCGCCCCGCTCGATCACCGCAGGGCTACATCCCACTTCAGCTGGGACCGTTTAACCTCAGTCTTGAGTTTGCTTTACCATCAAGGGAAGAAAGCAGGAAATAAGATCATTTATAAAGGTTCCTGGGATATTGGAGGAAGGATTTCCCTTCCCTTCATGATGAGCGAAGACTCATAAAAAATGGAGCCGGGTTGGAGAAGCCGAAGGAAGAAGAAGGTGAAGTGAGAAACACATCAGCCTAAGGAGTTTCCAGACCAGTGTGACCAAGGCCTACGCTGGCATATCCACCCTGTGGCTCCGAGGATGACCTCTAACCGCCCAGCACACCGCGGGCTCCTATCTGCGGCGTAGAGAAGCAGAACACACCCACCAGTGCCCCACTTACTTTGCGCAAAGGCCTCCTGAACGTCTCCCCCGACCCCCGTGAGGGAGTCCTGAGGCGTGTGCGACGGGCTGGAGCAGGCAGACGCGGAGCGCACCGGCATGGGGATGGGCCTGCTGATGGTGTGGCTGGGGGAGGAGCGAGGAGAACCTGCCCCCTGCGTCTGGAGAGACAACGCAAGGCATTAATGTGTTTTCCCAAAGCTTCCCAAATGTTAAAAACAGTAACAGTGAGGTTCCCAAGCAGGAGGACGTCCTGGGTAATGGAGATGGTAATCCTAAACCTGAGTTGCAGGTGCAGATAATTCAGGACCTCGTTGTCCATAATCTGGAGTTTTGGTTACATGTTGAGAGTTAAGAATATTAGTAGAGTAGTTCTATGGTACATGAGATGTGTGCCCAAGTAATGAGGCTACTGTTAGGCAGTGAGAATTACAAGGTGTGTCTGTTTCTTCCTCCAAGGAAGTTCTGCGTAGAATAAAAAGACATTTCAGGACAAAGTTTGAAATATAAACTAGGAGACTATTGGGGATGGATGTGGTTTGTGTAATTCCTAAATTTTCAACCTCTCTGTCCTGGCATAATCTTTAGAGGATAGTTTATAGGCCAGATCATGCCATGTAATATTGTGCATATTGAGTCTCAAAGAATCAAATGAGGTATAAATTGTTTCATCCCTACTTTTTGGTAAAAGTTCACTTCGTCAAATTGCTCTGTGACTCAGGGATTCAGATGGGGAAGAGAAAAAAACTCTTCGTTTCTAATTTTTGGCTACTGTAGGGATTTTTGGCCACATTTCCTATAGGGAATGTCCTTCTCTTCGTCTATGAAAAAGCAGTTATTTTAGCAATGAGAACAGGGAGATTTAAAAGCGAGTGAAGAAAAAAGTAGAAAACAACTAAAAGCCGTTTCTGTCTGCATTACAGTCCTAGGCATGAAACCATTCACACCTTGAATTTCACAGCTTTGTCTCTACAGTGAAGTTTCTTGGAAAGATTTTCCGTGTTACAATAATTAGTTTACAAAGGAAGCCAGTCATGAGTAAGGAAATGCAATGCAACCCTCAGGTGCATACTCAAAGATTGGGTGTTCACATAAACTCCATTTGTCTGTTGGGTCTGGCCAGGGAGAGGGAGGACTCTTCCATAGCAAGGCCCAGAGATTCAGCATCAACCCATTCAAACCCATGAGAGCAGTGCTCTGGAGTATTCGATTTAGACTTGCTGTGGGGTCTCTGCTTGCAGTTAAAACACACAACATCAATCCTGTAAAATGCCATGCTGTTAGCTTTCTGGGGCTCAGCATCACACATAAAAGTCAAATCTATGTATTGAGAAAAATCTAGAATTAAAAATGAGACAAAACAGAACAGAGCAGAGCAAAGAACTCGTGTGATGACCAATGGCCTGGGGGTGCCACTCCTTCACTCTCAACGGTACCTTGAATGGTCTGTCCGGGCCCAAGGAAGAGCAGTTTGCCTGCTGGTGTGATGCTTGGCAGCCTGTTGGCCCAGACTGCTCAAGGATGGGTCTGGTTTTCCCTGGCAGACTTTGCCAGCTCAGTCTCATTAACCACGAAACCTCTGCTGAGCTACCATGGCATCCCCCTTCTCCCCATGCCGATAAGAAATGACTTCACTTTTACATCGTGCTTTGCCAGGTAGAAGGGTTTTCATGTGCCTCCCCATTGATTTCTCTCCACAACCCATGAAATAGGCATCATTACTCTAAATGTGCAAGTGTGGATTGCAACGCTCAGAGAGGTAAAAAGGATTGCTCGGGAGGTGGAGTGGGAGAGCCTGGGCTGGGGTCTGAGCACAGATGCTCTCGCTGCCCTGGGCTGCAGGGACCTGGCTGGGTTTGGGCTGCTGAGGGTCCCTCAAAGGAGTTCTGCTGCCCTGAGGGCTGCTTCCCCCTGGGAACCCCTCCTGTGCACCATTCTCTAGGCAGGGCTCCTTGCTCTTTCTTACCTGTCCTTTTCTGCAGAGACCAGTCACACAGCAGGGAGGAGGGACTGGGATGGGAAGTTGGACAGTTGAAGGAAGGAGGTTCTTCTTGCCTACACAGCTGGTTTACCCTCTCAACTCTGGGGTAGGAGGTTCATAATAATAATAATAATAATACAACTGTACTTTTATATGTAACTTGCAGGGGCCAAAGCACTTTTACATACATTGTTTGGTTTCATTCTCCTCATAATTGGTGCTAGGAATGATAGTTGCTTATATTTGAATAGCAATTTGCAGTCTATAAAGCAATTTAACCCCAACTATTTCATTTAATCCTCTTAGCAATGATACGAAGTATTATATTCCCATTTTTCAGGTTAGCCAACCGAGGCTCAGAGGTGATAACTGGGTTACCCAAAGCCTCTGAGCTAGAGATTGGCAGAAACAAAGTGGATTCCCAGCCTTTCGTCTACAAGCCTGGGGCTTTCCGACAGCCTCACAGCCGCTTCTGAGGACCGAAGCCACTGTGACCACCCATCACAGGCTTCACTAACGGGAGAAAGGTTTAGCAGCCTGAAGGCTGAGAAGGTGCAGGACCTGGACCCACCAGTGAGTGGTGCTGGAGTAGCACCTAGGGCTCTGGCTGGGCTGGACAATACCTTTCAGTTGCCCGGGTCATGGGGTGCAGTATGAGCGCCCCAGGGCTGGAAGAGCCTGTGGGCTGTTTATCAATTGCTACAGAAATGCAGGTGCAAATCTCTTATCTGCAAATTGAGGTTCTGAATCCTGGGACATATCTGGAGTCAGTGATTTCAGATGGGGGCTGTGGGTGTGTGTTTCAGTATTTTAATGGCTATCCTGGAGCTGCTTGCACCCGTTCCGTTGGGCTCTCCAGTACAGGGTGCCCGTGGGGCTGCCCCCTCCCCTTTGGGCACTAACCTGGCCCTTCTAACCTTCCTGTTTGTAATTCTCTTACCTCCGGCGATTCTTTCCCCTTCTCACGCCCTGAGCTCTCCCACTAACTGTGTTAGAGGCATTCCCAGTCCTAACGCTCTGCTTAATGATGCCTGGTCTCCAAAACCAACTTTCCCCACTTCTCTCTGCCTGCTTCCTTCCTTCAAAATCCCTATTAGTGGTTCTGTGTTAAGAGAAAAATAATTGACTGTAGTTATGTGTTAAGGGAAAAACAACGGACTGAATCTAAATTACACCAGTGTGTGAATGATGGGTAGCAACCATCTCCTAAATGAATCTCTTATTGGTGCAATTTCAAGCAGTCTGATTATGTGAAGAATTTAAGTGGAGATTCTGTGCTGGAGACAAGATTCAGTGGCATCTTCCCTGCAACTCCCAACGCCCACGGCATGTCCAGACTCTGGGGAGGGGAAGGCCCTGGCTCCCTGGCTGATCATGTCTCTTTGTCCAGTTTGATGCACTTCCTGGGACCTACCACTGGGAATGTCATCTCTGGCCTTCCTTCCGGCTCTTTCTCTAGGGTCACTAGGAAAGGGCAGTTGCCTCTTGGCATTGGGGTAGATCAGTGGAGATATCACTGGGTTTCATTTTCAGGTGGTGACCCCCGTAGATGGTGGCCTCTGGCCTGGTCATGAAGTCTGGTTGTTTGCTAACAGCTTCAGAAGAGTTAGAGTGAGTAATCTCTGTGAACATCCTTTCCTGGAAATTACTTGATGATTAATGGAGAGAAGACTTAAGGGACAATGGTCCATGCAGATCAATATATAGATCTAAAATTCCTGAGAGGAGAGTTGATTTATGGAAGAAGGAAAACATACATCATATTAAAAATAGCTCACTTCCCAGCGAATAAATGAAAAATTCATTTCTGCACTCCATCCTCGGAGTCCACTCAACTTGCTGTTGTATCAATTTTTAAGAAGTCTGACAAGATCCATACATTTTTCTGATTCTTTACCAGGGAGCATTTTGGTTTCCTCTCAGCACCAGAAATGAGGGAGGCTTCAGGGAAAGGACCAAACGTGTAATCGCTGAAGCAACAGTGCCTGGAGCCACAGCTGAGCAGAAGACCATGAGACAGGGGTGTACACCCTCCCCCTGACTGAAAAGTCTGCCTCAGGTTTGACTGGGAACACAGCCCAGTCCACCTAGTTTTCCTTAGCAGCCTGAGAAGGTTCAGCAGAGCAGTGTTTGGCTATGTTCAACCCTCTTACCATCCTTTCTTCTGATACACATTCACTGACTATCCTTGTAGGGATTGCTGTGTCCACCGTGCTGTGGGCATACAGATGAGGTGACTAATTCTGACAGATCAGGCAGGAGGCATCACTTGACTTGGGTCTTAATAGTGGCGATTTCGGGGCAGAAGAGAGGATGTATGGCAAGGAGAGAAGAACATTCTAGGCCTTGGAGTGTCATGAGCAAGGAAAGGGAAGGGTGAGGAGGCCAGGATGGTGGATGTGCCAGCCAGGTTCGTTGTGGGGGATGGAGGGGACTGAGGCTGGTGAGGGGTGGTGCCAGGTTTGGGGGTCTCTAACGCCATAAAAAGGGCTAGATTTAATCTGAACTAGAAGGTCATCTCCTCAGGTTTTTAAGTAGAGAAATAATTTTTACTTTCCTAGAATTAACGGACTGATCCCTAATTTTAAAAAAGGTTGTGTAAGAGAGTGAGAGAGTCTGAGAGGATATGTTTTGAACATTAGATGTCAGTCCTAATATCACAGTCGGTTATTTGGGTGAACTCCCCCCGCCACGCCCCTATCCCACCTGTGATTGCATCACCACTCTCCCCAGGATACCCACCAGAGAGGATGCGCAAGGGGAACAAACGAAGGTGAACTGATGCCGGTAGAACTTGTCATTTCTGGCCTGTTCATGGTCTATAATGTGTTTGGGAGAAGTGGGGACCTGAGCGACCAGGATTTCCTGAGTTCACGGGGCCTCCAGTTGTAAAGAGAGAAGAAAATGGGGGCAGGAGGTAGGATTTGAAATGTTTCACTTTCCTCCTCTGACTGAGACACTTAGTTAACTGGAAGGAGGAGAAGTGGATGTGTGTGTGTGTGTGTGTGTGTGTACATGCGTGTGTGTAAAATATGGGTCCAGTTAGAGAAGTTCACATATTGTTGGACGCATGTGTATACATCTATACGCAGTTTTATACCAGTCTCTGACATGCATATAGTATTTTACAAAGTGCTTTCACATCCATTATCTTTGAAAATCTATGCAACAGTCCCGTGAGCCATGTCTTATCAGTGTGTTTGAAATAAATTCCCGGGAAGCCAACTGACTTACTCAAGATCTTACAGGTGTGAGTGAAGAGCGGGGACCCCCTACAATCAGGTCTAACACCAGCGGTTTCTCTACAAAAATTTTTATTGAGACCTTACATTCTGAACTCAAAGCCGGGATATCTGGTTTTAGATTGGGATGTGATATTTGGCACTAGAAGTCTACCAGAAACTCTGAAACATACTGTCAACTGCAATTACACCCCAGCTGCCTTCATTATTAAGCTTTTTATGAGTGTTCTTCTTATGGTTCCTTCAATAAATCTTAAAATACACAAAGAAGAAAGAGGGTAGGATAATTTTGATGCAAGTTTTGTAAAAAAAATTTATTGCTTATGATACCATAATCATCATATTATATTACAGGCACTATTTTTTTTTATTCATGTTCTCTCCTCAAGGGGAATAAATTCATGCGTTACCTCTAACAAGAAACAGTATAAGTAGGAATTATATATACCAGTATAGTAAAATACATTGAACCACACAGACTTATGATAAAGCAAGTAGAGGTTATTAAATCAAGCACAATTTGTTGTGCGCAGTGTCTGAAATCTGATTTTACAAAGAGAATGTCCCCAAAGGGGTAAGGCTCATAAATAAAAACAGAATTTAGAAGCAGACGCCAGACTAAAACCTCTAAATTCTCTCCTTAGATCATGTTATACCAAAGGAAGTCTATATATTTGGATGGCATAAGTTCATTTCCATGTAGAACAGCCTGCTCTGGATCAGGCCAGACAGGGTTCTGTCTTTAATTTTGACTAAAGGTCAGTATAATAATCAGCCACTTGACATCTGTGGCTGCATTTATCCATTTTATTACTTAGCACTCCTTCTCTAAAGCTCCGAGGGAAGACTTCCTTATATTTCATGCCAACAGAAATTTTGGTCCCTTGAGAACTGGCATTTCGGTTCTGATAAAACCACCAAATATGTTTTCCTATTTTTTTTTGTCTCCTCGCCAAAAAGCTCAGAGGCACACCCTTGTCCCTTACGATGAGCATATTGGCATTTTCTTTTCTTTCGTTTCTGATTTTTCTGGATTTATTTTATGAAGCCATTGTTGATGTCTGTTGTTGTAAGCTACCTCGGGTCCTTTTCGAGAAGAGGCTTGAGTATACAAGCAAAAAGCAAAGGAGTAAAGACGAGTAAACGGTCTCCCCACCCAGAGAGTGCATTGCTGCCATCTGGGTGTTGCCAGTGAGGGCCCTGTAGAGCCCCTGCAGCAGGACCCAACTGAGGGCTGCCTCCGAGACGCGGAGCCGTGGAGGGCTCCTTGGGAAGAGCTGGAAGGCAAGGAGGCAGTATACTGCTCTACGCCAGCAGCCGTGCTTTGGCTCTGGGCAGCCATGGATTCATGAACCCACTGGTCCACTGAGCCTTTCCAGAACGGGTGGCCTGGGAAGAGGTGGGAAAGGGGGTCCTCTGGCTCAAGCGAGGCTGACTGACTAGAGGATGGTTGCCCTCTCTCTCCACTAAGTGGAAGAAGGTTACATTTGAGCCTTTTTTTCCTTTTTCTGTGCACATGCTAAGTCAGAGACAGGAAAGAAAAGAGGCTGTTGCAAAGAGAAGCTGCTAGCACAGCAAGGCATTTTTCTCTAGCATGATCTAAGTGTGTTGGAAGTACAATAGCAATGCCCCGTGTGTGGCTTTACAGGCAACGATACAGGCTATATGTGTCCATCCTTCACCCAGGGGGACTACCTCTCTTTCAGATTTGACTCTAGTCAAGTAATTTTTTTCACAAAATACAAAATAGTGTAATACATTGTCTTTATTGTCTGACATTACAGATTAGTTTCACACTTTCCTTTTTTACAGACCATGGGAATGAAAGGTAAAAATGTGTCCAGCATTTTGCAAACATTCTTTGTTACACACAAACACACACAATGAATAACAGGAAAGAGAATACAGAAGAATAAAAGGTACGTTGAAATCGGACAGGCTGTGGTTCTAATCGATCCCAGGAAATAATATGAAACTTCCTGATAACACTAGCAAGTGGGATATACTGTCATACACAGCTTGGTACATGCACTGGACATTAAAGCTGCTGTTATTTTGCTTCTATTTTGTTATTGTTATTTTTTGAGTATGCTACTTCCTCTGCTGGCTCTGGACCTGACCACAGGGTCAGGCATAGGGTTCCAGTTAGACTACGGTTAGAGAGTCACAATGCTCCTGTTTCCAGAGAAGATGTAGGTAAGGGCCTTGTGAACTCCCAGAGCAGGAAGGTTCTTGGTGATATGAAAAAGCCTGAAAGTTACCTGTTCTCTTGAGATTATTTTGAACCAATGGTAGGAATTCTGCTTGCAAGAACTAAACAGTGGGAAGTGAACACTTGCTGAGTACAGTGTTTCTCTTAGATTGAATACATTTTGGTGACGGGGAGGACAGGGCTTAATAATTATGCAATGAAAAGAGATGCAACTGGCTGACTTCTATACAAAGAGGTCCCACACCTTTCCATTAAAATGGAAACTGAACTAAATGGTCAACAGCATGAGAGGACGTAGAGGGTAGCTTGAGTGCTGCGGGTTTCTCTTAATGTAACTTTAGTGGCGGCGGTGGGTGTCTCTCTACTAAGAGAAGGGTCTGATCAACAACCCAGAAAAGCATGAGACTGGTTTGAAACATAGACTGCTGGAGATCTAGAAAGGTTCCAACAAATTACAATTTTTTTTTCCCCTCTTCTAAAAGATGTAATAGCTCTTGTTTGGATGCCGACAGTAGTAATAGTTATAAAAAACACTAAATTTTATATGTGTCCATTCAAGCACTACATTGAAAGGGAAGCAAATTAGTATGATTTTTTTTTTCTCTTTCCAAACTGAAGCATGAACATACATTAGAGGCAAAAGCAATGAGAAAAACAGCAGGATGGCAGGCCCCTCCACAGTTAGTTAAGACCTGCAGTAGGGAACATAACTTACTCCCTGCTTCAGTTCTTCTTCCTACAGAAAGATTGAATCAATAACAGTTAGATTACCCAGGATTCCAGCAAGAGCATGTACACAGTGTGAGGGAATGCAAGGTGGGGGAAACATCAACATGGCTCTAATGGGAGCCTCTCCTACCTTGGTGACTTTTAGTTCCACGTCTATTTAGGTATTTGAGACAGACCATCTCTTTCCTCCCTCTGTCCATCCATCTTTCAATGTGGTCTATCCCTCTCTCCTGGTGTTTGTACATCCTGATCTGATAGACTGTGCTCGGGTAGGCTAGCTAGGTGGATGCGAAGATGGCTGGTGGTAAATGGACCCCTGTCACATAGCTATGGTGACAGAAGCTATGGGAATATAAGTGGGGGGCTGTTTTCAAGGTTTCCTGTCATTCAGTGAAGGGAAAGATGAGATCGACGCTCTTCATTTGGTATATTTGAAAAGGAAAGCAGAAAGAGCTTTTCTGGATCGTCAAATGAGAAAATAGGGTAGAAACAGTAAGAGGTTATTAGTTATCGAGTCCTGTCTTCATACATACAGTACCACAAAAACTGAGTTCTTTGCCTTACATGTCTGAAAAGGAAATTTCGTTTAGAGAAGATAAAGCATTCCCAACACTGATGGCAGGAAAAGTTGACTAAGGAATAAAAAAAAAAGAGCAGAGAAAACAAAAGAAAGAAGTGTCACACTTATATCCGTGCCAGGACACAGGTTTCAACAAGTATTTATTAAATAAATAAAAGAAGGGAAGAAAGGAACAAGGAAGAGAGAAAGAAAAGAGAAAAAAGAAAAGGAAAGAGAGAAAAAAGAAAAGGAAAGAAAGAAAAAGGGACAAACAATAAATGATGGTGTGTCAGGGATGTGGGAGACCCAGGGACCGGAAGTATGGATGTCTGTCTCACAGGTGAGCTGCCCCAGGGACCTGGCCTTCCTCACTCCATCAGAAGTTTCAGTTCCTGCGTTTGGCAAGTCCCAGTTCCACTCCACAGTGGTTTCTGCTTGTCTACATCAGGCAGGATAACCACATAGCACTGATTTCCCTACTGAGCCAACTGTGGCCAAGGGGCCATCATTAGTCACCCTGTGATGTGGAATGTGATTTAGTACATACCGAAGAAGGGAATAGGGATTTATGAAAGGAAGAATGCTACTTCCCAGTGAGAATGACATCACAGCACTCTGCAGAGCACTTCCCTAGGTCATCTTATTAAACCCTCTACCTGAAGAGAGCAAATTCCTATTTACAGTTTGCATTTGAGACTCATAGAAGTTATGTGACTTGCTGCTAAAGCCACACAGATGAGATGAAATATTTCACCGATATTAAGTTATTACTCTTAATAAAAGTAGTCACCCCCAAAATTTCATGGCTATATCTTCATTTTCTGAATTAGACATTAGCTTCTGTTCACTTTATTCAGAATTACTGAAGCTATTAAATGTAAAGTATTCCTAAATAAATTCAGTTTTATTATTTTCAAGGACATAGGAACTGGAAATAAGCCAAGAAGTTGTCCTTTGAAGGACGTCAGTGGTCTGGTTCCAGGAAATGGAGAAGAATGAGCCTTGTCATTGACTGCTATCATTTGATGTATCTAAGAAAAGATCCTGTATCTGAGACTGAAGCCATATTCTGGGGCTAATCACATATAGTCATTGGAAAAACCATTGCACATTATGTGTGAAAGTTTTTTACAAAATGCCACAGTCAGAGGTCTAGGAAATATTTACTCAAACGTCTTACCTTTAGTAGCTTCATGAGACCTTCTAACTGGACCATTAGCTCTCTCCGGCTCTCCTGGAGAGCAGACATTCTCTGTTCCAGCTCATCCTTGCGCTGTCTAAGAAAGAAGCAGTTGTCATCAGAACAGCATTCAACCCACTGAGCTGATCACATTTCTCAGTCTTGTGGCAGGAGTGGACCACCAGAAAAAGGGCATCTCTGGATCTCTGACATGGTTTCCAGGCACGGAGATGTTGTCAAATGAATGAACATGAGGTGTACATTTGTTTCTTAGAAGTCGTACTAAAATAGAATTAGAATCCTATTGGATATTCCCTCCCCTCCCCCACTTCTACCTTGAATTAACCATTTAGTGAACTCTTTTCTGAATGCTTACTATGTCCTGGGCCCTGTGCTCTGCCACCGAGCTCCCTGAGACAACAAACCCAAAAGCCAAACTGTCCCTGAAAAGGGTCAATCCCATAGATCCTCCAAACCCAAGGACCCTTTTGTAAATCTCAAAGGAAATACCAATACCTTAATATTTGGAAATTGGATTTTAAGAGTTCATTTTTCATTTCTTCCATTCTTTGTATGCAATGCAGTGCCTTTCAGAGGTGAAATATTCATAGTACAGAATTTTTATAGTCAATTTAAGTTTTCTGCTTTGGGTTTGACTTTATATAAAGCAAAGTCAGAATAAAGGAGTTCCTACACAATTGTTCTAACTGAAAATAACCTATAAGATTTGTGTTTGTTTAATTTTGTTTGTTTTGCAGAACTTCTATTAAACTGTCAGCAAGAATGGAAACCACAAAGGACAATCTCTACTCTATCATTTATATTGACACTAAGAGGTACCAAATATACCTTTGAAAGAGAGAAAAGAAATGAAACAGTATGGGGAAGAATGTTAATGGTTCACATTTCTGACGTCTATGTTTATTTTTCAAGTCAATTTCAAATCTGTTATTTCATGATCATTAGTGAATAATACATACAATTTTTTCCCTTGTCCCAAAGGCTTTTGTCTGAGTTTGAGATACTGGAACTTATATTTTAAAAATGTGTGGATGCTTTAACCATGGGCTAATGTATGAATTGATATGCCCAGTCTTAATAGCATAGGCATAATATTAAGTGGAGCTAGAGCAGAGACTCTGAAATGAAAAACTGACAATATAAAAATGTCATGCTGACACAGGTCAATGACTCATCCAATTGAAAGATATTTTGTGGGAGGACAGGTTATGGATATTAATGAAACATTTCTAATTTGCTTTGATACAGGCTTTCTCTAATGATTTATGAATTTAAAATTTATAAACATGTCTCAACTCTTTTTGGATATATTTGTATTTTTGGCTTTTATTGCCACTTAAGGTTTACTCTCAGAGCATTCCTTCCTTTGATTTTCTTTACAGTTTCCTCTTTTCTGAGTCCCAAAGGACAAGGAACATCATGATTTTATAGACTTTAATGGTATTTTATTTTAGTCTTTGTCTTCCAGGGCTGCAACATTCTAATTTTGAAAGCCTTGCTCCATTCAAAAATATTCTTCAATGACAAATCCACTAGCTGTTTTATCTTTGACCTTGTCTGCACATCATGTTCCAAATATACCCACAATAGGGCTTGGCAGAAGGATAGAGAATGTTTCTGATATATTTCCAGTTCTCTTCCAGATATTGCTCTGTAATTTTTGGATTTTTGGTCAGAGGAGCACTTTGTGAAGAGGGTTGCAGTAAAATTCCAATATTGTAGATAAGAAATACTAAGAAAGGCATCTAAAAACTATGAGAGAAAGTTAACTGGTATTAATTTAGAATTAATCAACATTAAAAAACACTTATTTGTACTTCTTTCTTTCTTTTTTAAAAGATTTTATTTATTTATTTGACAGAGAGATAGAGAGAGAGCACAAGTAGGCAGAGCGGCAGGCAGAGGGAGAGGGAGAAGCAGGCTCTCCGCTGAGCAGGGAGCCCGATGCGGGACTCGATCCCAGGACCCTGGGATCATGACCTGAGCCGAAGGCAGATGCTTAACCAACTGAGCCACCCAGGTACCCTGTACTTTTTTCTTATAGTAGTAATCTTTCAAAACAAATCTTTCTTTTTTAAAAGTTTTTATTTACTTATTTGACAGAGAGCAAGAGAGAGAGAGCACAGAGGGAGAAGGAGAAGCAGACTCCCCGCTGAGCAGAGAGCCCGAGGTGGGGCTCCATCCCAGGACCCTGAGATCATGACCTGAGCAGAAGGCAGACGCTTAACAGACTGAGCCACCCAGGTGCCTCTGATATCTACTCTTTCATGCATTTGATTGAATTCAATTTTTTTAAAAAATTCACTTAATAATGTCTTTATTTAATCTTCTCTATAAGTATTTATTTAATCTTCTCTCTAAGTGGCTACCAAATGTGGGTCTGATTAACAAATTTGTGGTGTAGCTTCTATGGTTCCAAGTAGGAACAAGAAAACAAGGACTAAGTAGTGATTTTATTTTCATAGAGCTTAATGTATTACATCTCTAAAGGAATGCCTTTTATTCTGAGATTCTGCCAGATTATTTCTAATTTTGCATGTGTGTTAAAACCTACTTTCGCTTGGGGCATCTGGTTGGCGCAGTTAGGTAAAGGGTCTTACTCTTGGTTTCAGTATTCTGGGATCGAGCCCCGCATTGGGCTCTGTGCTCAGGAGGGAGTCTGCTTGAGATTCTCTCTCTCCCTCCTCTTCTGCCCCTCCCACTCGTGCTTATTCAAATAAATAAATAAAATCTTAAGGAAAAAAACCAACCCTGCTTTCTCTTAGGACAATGTTAGGACAACAGGCAAAATTTTAATATAGATTGTCTATTAGATAATAATAAACATCAATATTAACTTGCCTGAATATGATGATGGTGCCATGGTTATATAAGAGAATACATTTTTACCTAGGAAACATACACAGGAGTACTTAGGGGTAAAGGGTTATGACGTCTGCAACTTACTCTCAAATGACTCATCAAAAATGTGTATGTAATTGTTATATATTAACATATAGAGGGAGATAGAGAAGGATGTGGTAAAATGTTTGCAATCACTAGGTGAAGTATAGAAGGACATTCATTGTGATATTCTTACAACTCTTTTGTAGGCTTAACATTGTTCCAAAGTAAAAAGTTAAAAAATATACCGTCATTCATGAAACTGCGGTGAAAAGAGACAATGGTAGTTTTAAAAATATATCACTGTGGTAAAACAAAAAGTACTCAACTTTATGTTGTTTCCCAAAAATAATTAAAAAATTAAACTAGTCTATTAAATTCAACTCTGGAAACTACAGACTTGCAGTAGAGATTATACTTTCATTTTTAATTAATAGAACAAAAAATTCAACTTATATTAGCAAGTTTTCTTCAAGAATAATTTTATATACATTGAAAATAATGTAATTTTGGGGGTATAAAATAAAATGCTTATTTTTTGGGCAAGGTATAGACATGGAAATTATACTTTTTTCCCCTGTGAAATTTGTAGTGTGAAGTTAGTTGCTTCACAGTTTTAATAAATGTTTTCTTCATCTTACAAGATGGTATTGTCTTTGCAAACACACTTCTGTAGCTATCCCTTCAAGTTTTGCAGCTTATCCATTCATCCCACAAACATCCATTCAGCACTTTTGTTTTAAGACACTGTAAATAAAATAATGAGTAGGATACGGTTTTTATCCTTGGGTGAAAGAGGAGGAGAGAGGAGAAATAAGTTCAAAACAATGATGGCGAGCATACAATAAAAATTCAAACAAATTGCTATATATGGTGATACCAAATAAGATGCCCAGTTCCAAATGGTGGTGGAAGTTTAAGGAAGGCTCGCTAGATAAATTTGCAAAATCTCCCTCAAAAACTCTACCCAAATGTAGAAGGGAAAGACCTCAGGGACCATATGGAATATTCCAGACCTTTTCTGCTTCATCTCTGCCTCTTGATTGCCTGTATTCTTGAAGTTATTAGTAAAATTCAGTACTGGAGTAAGATCTCTGATTCATGTGAGTCTGACTTTACAATCTAACTCACTGTATTGGCTCGATATGTAACTATCATCCTTCATGGCTTCCTGTTTTGGGATTAAGAGCAATATCCTCAAGATGGTCTGTGAGGCCACAGCATCGTGGTCTACCCCTACCTACATCTTCAGCTCCATCTCTTACCGTACACCCCTTCATTCACTGCATTCTAGGCCTATCGATCTTTCAGTTCCTAAAAAAAGTGCCAGATTTCGCTACTGCCATTTGGTCATTGCACATCTGGTCTCTCTTCCAGGGCACCCTTCATCAGCTGTTCCAGCCCCTCTGCTACCCTTAATCCCCATTTCCTATGTATTCATCTTTCATACTTCAACTCAAACAATCCTTCTTCATGGTACTCTTTTCTGACTGCAGTGAAGGGCAGGTTTGATAATTATGTCTCTATTTAAAAGTAAGATTCCTTATAGCACTTATCTCAGTTTGTAATTATCTTCTTATTTGTGCAGTTATTTGATTTATGTCATTTTCCTACTGGACCACACATTCTGCGAGACCAGGACAGTATCTTTCTCAACTCAATTCTGGGCATACTGCATTTTAGAAATATTTACTGAATGAACTAAATGAATAATAAAATGAGGAAAGATAAATCTGAAAGCAGTGTAGATGGACCAGAGGACAGGAATCAATTGAGTAATAACAGTCCAGCAGGAGATAATTAAGACCCACGAAGAGGAGATGGAATCCACCTGTGTTACTCACTGTGTGGGATCTTGGGCAAATTATTTAGCTTCTGTGAATCTCAGTTTCCATATCTATACAAAGAGTAAAATAATAGTGTCCATCTCCCGGCTTTGTTACAGCAATTACCTGGGACAGTGTATGTAGAGCTTAGTGCATAGGAAGTGTCAGATTAGTACACAGAACTGTCCATCACTTGATCCCATTCAGTTGCCAGATCTGGGTTGCAATCCTGGCTTGCAGCTTTCTTGCGGCTCATGTGCAAATGGACATGTGATTATTTAGAAAGGTCATAGTGCTCTTAAGATAAAAATAAACTATGTGTTCATGAAAAGCAGAGCTCTGTTTCTTTGTCCCCTTGCCTGTTCCCCAGCTGAAAGAAATTTCTCCTTTTAGTTTCTCAATAAGAGACCCAGGCAGGCTGCAATGGAGGGAGAAGATCTCTATCAAAGAGTTCCCATGGCAGCTTCACATGGCCACCCCTCAGTGTGAACAAAGGCCAAAGTAACTGTGGAAGAGGCCATTGTTTTAGAGTCCAAAATGTCTAAAGAATAAAAGTTAGACTACCCAAAGGAGCTCTCTTAACCTGGGATGTCAGGGTTTCTCTGAAATCCCCAAATTGTGAAAGTGCTTAGTATGGACTAAGTGGCTTATCAGCATCTCAAGAAATATCCAGGTAGAAGAAATGTGTAGAATATGGAGGCAGGCAAACAAATCCGTTGGGATTTAGGTGTCTCAGGCCTCAGGCCTCTGGCCTCAGGTATGGGCCACTGGCTGACAGTGAGCCCCCCAAATACTGAAGTTTCTCACAGAGTCAGACTCCTCAGCATAGGTTTGGGCTTGGCTGGGTCTATGGGAGGGCCCACAAGGCAGGGCCAGGAGGGTGGTTAGAATTATCAGTCTATTCCAAGATAGTAATGTCAAGGAGGGAAGAAATATCAGTTGGAAAACTATCATCAGTGACCCAGGCACATCAAGGTGCCTTCTCAGACTGCATCATCCAAATAGAACCAAAGACTTTCAAAAAGCAAATGCTAAGGAGGGGATCTGATGAAAACATTTATGAAAAATTCCTAGTCATCATGCCTCCAACAGAGAATGGGGCAATCAATGGAAGAGGTATAATGAACATTCCAGACAGAGACAAGGTACCTTGATGCGTAGATGAATGATTACTCTATTTCTAAGTTGGTTTATTCAGTTATATTTCTGTCTATGTTAGACTTGCAACTTGTGAGCCTGGAGGGCCTACATAATCCTATTAGGCAAAGATTCTTTCAAGCAGGCATTTACTTTTATATGCCTTTGAGGATGATGATATGAAATATCACTTTTTCCTTCCCATGTTCATCCCTTCTGGGAGATGGTGTAGTAGGATGTGCAAGGATTTCTAACACATCTCCCTGAAGGTAGGACCAGAGATTCTATCATTTGAAAAGGAAGAATTTCTGATTCTTCCATTAAATTATTTTGTTATTTCAAAGTATGACATGATCTGTTCACATCAAGCAGCTCCCCCAGGTTGCAGCTTCCATAGATCTCCCTTCTATAACTCATGCCTTGGGCGGGCCTGCCATCTAGACAGGTGCATGAGCCTGGGGAGAGCAAGCGTGGAGCCTCGCTGGGAGCAGGCAGAGCCTGTAGCCTGCGGTGCCTGGATGTTAACATGTCTGAAGAGCAGGGCTGGGATGGACCCCCCAGAAACATCTGTGGTAAAATCCACACACAGCCATACAGAACCTGCTTAATGTAGTTGTTCTGTATGGAAGAAGTCAACAGCACTCTAATTCTGACAAGGGTTTCTGAGAAGAGGCATCTGTACTTCCTATAAAAAGTATGCCTCAGAATTTTGCATACACCCAAACTGGAAGATGGAAGGGATGTCATGCTTGCTAAGTCCAAGTGCCTCTTGAAATATGACATTTCTATGAGGCAATGGCTTTGATTTTATGCTTGTGTTGTTTGCTATACAAACAGGTTTGAGTATGTGCCATAGTCAAGGCATGGAGCTAAGCCGGCCTGGGGGGCAGCCCTCGGCACCCACCCTTTCGCACCTGGGCACAGTGGGAGGCGCTGAGGTCCTCGGCTGCTCTCCACCATTCTGACTCTGAGAAGTGCACTGAAATTCAGGGGTGGGACCAGATGACCTTCTAGGGTCCTTTCCATCTCAGATGTTTTCTGGTGCCAGACTAGACAATACCAGGTGTTTTAATTTATTTGCAGAGCAAGAAGGTATGAGGTCTGTTCTTTAAGCATGTAAAGCTATTACCACGATTCAGAGAAAATCAGACTCCTTTTTATGGCTTATAGGTAAATTTTTAAGTGTACAAACCTGTGATGTTTATTTAGCTGTTCATGTGTTTGTTTTGTTGATCACTTGTATCATAAACACGTTGTCGGCAGTGCAAATAACAAGAAAGAGTTGAATTCACCTTTTTTTTTTTTCCAGTGAGAGATTTTGTTTCTAAAGAGCACTGTTTCCCCTTCTCCGTGTCAAATGAAAGAATAAAATATAAACAGCATCCTTGAAACCCCCCAAATACCAGAAATTAGGGATGTGCTATTAAAAAAGAAAAAGCACACATATGTATGTCAGCAGCTCGGGTGGCTGAGGACTGTTTCCTGGTTAGACGCTGTTGGACTTTTTGAAGATCCCCGTCACTTGCACGCCCCAAGAGGCCTGGGGCTCCCTCTCTTACCTGAGGAGCCGGAGCTCGGCCAGCAGAGTGGGGTTTTGCTGCGCCTTCTCTGGGGTGGGCTGAGAGGCTTGTTCATGCTCTAGCCGCAGCCTCTGGATCTCCTGTAAGATTTCTCTTGGGAGAGAGGAAGAAGGTAAGAAACTAGGATCAGTCACCTTCCAGGGGATCCCGGATACTCACATCTGGGCGGGGTCATCCCGTCTTCGGGAGCAGGAGCATGCGCACCAACGCTGTTTAGGAGCTATTGGCTGTGGGGAGCTGGGCACTGATTGGGAAGGGAAGGCTCATCTCAGCTCAAGCACATCCAGACTCTGCGCGTGTTACTGGAGCCTTCAAGCTGAGAGGGCTCGCCAGGACCTAATGATCTCTCTATTAAGTGATATAATGCTGTGGTAATGTGTTCAACTTTGAAAAGTGCACTGCTTCCGAGCAAAAAATGTATCTTCTGATTATTGATGATCACAGTGTGACACCATGAAAAGTACTTGCAGCTACCAAGTTAGAGGTGCTTGGAGGGAAAATAAGGATAAATGGTGTTCATTTCACAAAACTAAATAACCCCATTCTCTCAGCAGGAATGAGATTCCTCTCACTGGATTTATTTGAGAAGGTCCCCGTTAGGCAAAATTCTTTTTCCTTTTTTTAACATTTTCGGCCTTAACAATGGATCTCGATGAGGGTAGCCTTTGAAGGAAAGTGCTTTTAAAAGGATTCACTGTAATTGAGTGTGTGACATAAGAGTGCTATTGGCGTGACCTCTGTCCGGGGTGAGATGTGTCAGTCTATTATTGATGTTGGAGCCTGGGCTGCCCCACACTGAGGTGAACATTAGGCCAGCCATAAAGGATAGGTGACCTGTGCAAGGCAAATTATCCCTAAGTGAGTTAGAAGCCATTAAGCAAGGTTACAAGTCACGTATTCTTGGGGGAGGGTTCAGTCTCCCATCCAGCAAAATGCACAAGAGACAGACAATAAGAACAAAACACCAAGGAATGGAAGGTGAACTTGGTGAGCAAGGGGATGGCTTTCCATCTGAAAGGCTGATTTACAACTGCCTGCTTCATAAACACACCAGAGTTAAGGAGCTAATTATCAGTCACTACACCTCTAGCAGGTACAGTGAGAAGACTGAACTAAAATTCAGTGGTTTCCCACCTTTTTCTGTCCCCCTTGGTGTTCCATGTTGGAAAACTTTCTTTAAGAGAAATTTTTTCTGGGAATTCAATACATCAAATGGTTAAAAGGGCGCTGCTCTGGTGAAAGAAAGGGTGGGTCCTGAGCTGCAAGCCCTTCCTCCCCGCTCTTCAGGCACCTTGACAGAGACCCCCCTGGTCCCACAGAGCTCAGCCTGAAAATCAGTAAGCTGGGATTTCAAAGATCTCCTTCAGGGCTATCATCCTGATATTATACGACTCCCACTAGCTCTCCTTGTTGGTTCCAAGGACAGAACCATGACGCAGCATTTAGCCTAAGGAAGAAAAAGAGAGAAGCAGCTCTGATAAGGAAAATAACGGTAAGATATGTAAAGAACATTGAGTACTTTGTCTCTACCCAGGAACAATGCTCTCTTCTTTCATCTTATTTTATTTAATCCTCATACAAATTATTTTATATGTGGGTATTGCTATTATCTGTTTCATGAATAAGGAAATCAAAGCACAGGCCAATTAAATGACTCACCCAAGTTCAATAACAAATAGGTAGCAGAGGTGATCTGAACTCAGGCTGCTTGGCTCCAAAGCTTGTATATATCCGACTCCCTCTGTCTTTGGTACTTGCTCTGACAGGTCTAGCCTATGCAGGCTCTGACTTCTGCATCACAATATAAAGAGTCCTGCTACTCCTAATACCAATCCCAACTGGCTCCTCCAAATGTGCTATGAGGAAGCATTATCTTCTAAGATTACTGCTGAAATGTCCACTACCTAGGGTAGTCACAAAGTGAAGTGAGGAACTCTATCCTTTCCTGAAGCTCAGATATCTGATTAGTGGGTTAATTGTCACCTGGGAGACCATGGGATCCCTGGGTGAATTCCCATGGTGCAGCAGTCGGACCTGGATACGTTTCTGGGATGTGGTTCTGGGGTCTTTGGAGGGCATGAGTCCACTGGTTTAGAGAAAAGTGTTCAGGATGGACTAGATACTCTTCAGGCATGGGGTGGGGAACTCTATGGGCCATGAAAGGACTAAGGGACCGGATGAACTTCTCTTTCTGACATGTGTTCTCACTCCTATTTCTTTATTCTCTCTCTGGTCCTAAAACATGCATTCGGAGAGTACAATATCCAGAAACATCTTGGAAACAAGCAGTAAGAGTGGTAGCACAGGACAGCTCGGGCCATGAGGACATTCGTGGTGCTTCTTGCCTGAAATCCCACATGGAGGCAGATATTCTTGCCTGGGGTATTTCCTTAAGGGAAGTTCTGATTTCTCCTCATGCTCAGTAGAAGCAGAGGATTGGCAGGGAAAATAGTGCTCTGGAGAGGTGGGGGAGCAGGAGAACATTACAACCAAGATAAGATATTTGTGGGCTTGGGAGTTTTCACTTTAGTCTTTCTTTCCTTCTAAGAACATGGAAGTGTGCCAACCAAGTTTGTATCTTCCTTTAAATTTTTGTCCACAGAACTTTATTTTTTTTTAAGATTTTATTTATTTATTTGACAGAGAGAGAGAGAGAGAGCAGAAGCAGGGGGAGCAGGAGAGGGAGAAGCGGGCTCCCTGCTGAGGGACTTGATGCCAGGACCTTGGGATCATGACCTGAGCTGAAGGCAGACGCTTAACCAACTGAGCCACCCAGGTGCCCCTCTCCATACAACTTTAAAAAAAAATACTTTGACCATTTATCTCCAAATTCTCAGGTCAAACTCTACAGGCATGAAACAATGATCCCAACCTTGTCCTCTATTCAGTTTGATCTCAGAAGTTACATCAGTGTCTAAGAATGGGATTCAGGGGTAAGATGTTTTGGTGCTCTTCTAAGAAATATAGAACATACAAGTTGCTCCCATGTTGGACTTATTCAGTATTGAGTTTGAGATCTAATTCCACTATTTATTATTTTCTCACTCAGTATCTATTTACTGAGCTTCTACAACGTTCTAACCATGGTTCTGGAACCCAGGGGCCATGTGGCATGGCCTCTGTTCTCAAAGAACTTCCACTTCAGTCAAGGAAGACAGACAATACGCAAGGAAGCAAACACATAGATGCTATTGTTTCCGATAGTGATGTCTCTCTCTCTTTCTCTCTCTCTTGCACATACACACACACACACACACACACACGGAGCTGTGATAGAGAGTGGTTCCTGGTGTAGGAGGTCATGGCATTAGCTAGGCGGTCTTGTGAGCAGAGACCTGAATAATGAGAAGGGCCCATCCATGCAGAGACCATAAGGAAGAACTCTCTACAATGACAGAGCAATGAGTGCAGAGGCTATAAAGAAAGAAATGAGGAGGGTAATGAGCGGGGTTTGCTGAGGCTGGAAAGGTAGGCAGGAATTAGTCCCGGTCAGACCTTGCAGACCATGGTAAGAGTGTGACAGAAACCCATCAGAAGGTTTTGAACAGAAAATAACCTGATATGACTTGTGTTTTATACGGTGATGGGTTGGGATGGTGGTAATGGTGGAAATGGAGTGGGCAGTTTGGGATATGTTGTGATGGTCAGCTGCAAATCAGTCTGTGTTGAATAAAGAAAAGCCTGCCAATGGACTGGGCCTCTAGGTGTTTGGCTTGAGCAACTGGGGGCCCGTGGTGTCAGTCCAAATGCCTCTTTTGGCCAGGGTCCTTATATGGACCCTCCCTGGAGAGCCTTCCATTTGTCTCTGCATGAGCCAGCTCCTTGACGAAAGCAAGCATGTCCATACAAGGGAAATGAGGCTGTCTAGAGGGAAAGCATTGATTGCACTGAGATCTCAGAACTATATATATATAATCTCATGAAGCTTTCGAAAATCTAAAATCTAAAGACCCGCTTCTCAGAAGCCCACATCACCGATGAAAGATGTCATCCTTTAAAGAGACACACAGCTGAAACACCTGGATATTTTAAAGCGTTAACTACAAGCTTTCAGTGAGCATAGACTGATCAAAACAGCCAGCGTGTCTAAAAAGCCTTACCTGTTCTTGTTTTCTAGCTCTGCGATCAGCTGCCTCTGCTGCTTGTTTGCATCAATGGTGAAGGAGATGTCAGGAGCACTCCGCTGCTGAGTCGGCTGCTGTAAAACCAACATGTGGTTGACTATTGAACATTGGGAAGGGAAACTGTGTGTGCTCAAGAAGACTGGGATCGTGAGATAGGCAGACGTGAAAGAAAAAATTATTTCTATCAAAGCAAGAAAAGCAAATACATGAAATTGCCATTCATCTCCTAAGGACCAACTTCTCTATGAATCTGGAGGACACCTCTGCAATGAAAAGCAGAACAGAATTCTTTGGCAGGCAAATACACAAAACACAGAAAAAATAGTTTTGTAGCTTTCTTTTTTTAAATCATTTTTTACTTTTATTTTTTTAAAAGAGTTTATTTGGGGGGGGGGGAGGGGCAGAGGGAGAGGGAGAGAGAGAATCCCAAGCCTGACTCTGTGCTGAGCACAGAGCCCAATGTGGGGGTCGATCTCATGATCCTGAGATCATGACCTGAGTGGAAATCAAGAGTTGGATGTTTAACCAACTGCGCCACCCAGGCGCCACCCCCCTTTCTAAAGAGTTATTTATTTATTTGAGAAAGAGAGAGTACAGGGAGGGGCAGAGGGAGAGGGAGAGAGAATCTTCAGGCAGACTCCTTGCTGAGCCTGGAGCCTGATGCAGGGCTCAATCTCACGACCCTGAGATCATGATCCGAGCCAAAATCAAGAGTCTGATGCCCAACTGACTGAGCTACCCAGGAGCCCCTGTTTTGGAGCTTTCTGACTTGAAGTTTTGGGGATCTATTTCGTTCTTGCTGTGCTGTCCCCATTGCAATGGTTCTCTCAATACAGGTGCGTGTAAAAAATACTTCCTTGTTGAGACACCTCTCTAGAATTACTGTTCAGTCACTGTAATGTACGATTAAAAATTTCATAGTTTTAAAGTCATAGTTACTAGGATTTTCTTTTCTTTCGATCAACATACTTAGAGCATTTCTTTATTCATTTAGGTAATTTTACATTGATGGATATATATATCCTTCCTCCACATTCATGTCACACCATCATTCCTGGTCATGCAGCTGGCTTTAGCAACTGGTGTATATGCAGTCATAACTTTTGCCATACATATACATACGTGTGTGTGTGTGTGTATTACATATATATACACATATATATGCACACATACACACAAATTAATCTTAACAAATTATATATATAGATATATATACAAATTAACCTGACCAAATACACATATACATAAAAGTAAGGTATATGATTATATATGTATATACATATATACATATGTATATTTATATGTGTATTTTTTGTTGTAAAATCAAAGTACTATTTTATTAAATGAGTTCTTTTACACAATATGAACATTACTTATAATTGTAAGAGAATTTTTTATAACAAGGACGGACTGATTTTCAGATTTCTAAATGAGAGTCAACTTTTACATACGTATTACATTTACATATGTATATACATGCAATATATGTATATATTTAAGGTGTATTTATTTAATGAAGGTTTAATTTGTCATTGCTTTATAAAAGCAGGGTCAGATTATGTATAGTTCCCTGCCCCTTGCTTTCCTTGCTCTACAGTACATTGTAGAAATTCCTCAATTCGTTTTTAAACAAATTAAAAAAAATCACAATTAATCTTTCCACTAAAGAATGCCAAATTTTTAAAATTGGCACTGATTAACTAAGCCTGCAAAGACATGGAAAACCTCAGCCTGCTTTTTAATGTCCAGATACATGACTGTAGGAAAGGTTAAGCTTGGTAAAATGTCTGGCTTTCATAAAGTTTTTCTATGATTTTTTAATTAGCATTTCTTTGAACAAACAAATGATCTGTGTTGCTAACGAAGAGATTTGAGGTCCTAGGTTTTATGTCCTAAATGGCTTCCTGTAGTTAAGTCTGGCAGATGGCAGCTTTGATTTGTGATCCAGGTTTTCCCTCTGATTTCATTACGCAATTTTTTGTTTCTCTTATCTATTACATATTGATAAAAGTAGAAACTTATCTGAGCCAGTTGTAGATCTGAGTCATCGCTTTGCTCTTTTTATTAAGTGATCAGGAATTATCCAGAGAAATCAGGGGGTGGGCTGGTGCAGTTAGTGTTGTAACCGCATATCTGGAGCTATGATTTCTGCGGTACCAGAACCATAGCTGGAGAGGGACAAATGGAAGCAGTGGAAGGCTTGTGTGTAGGTCCTGCGGGCCATCCAGTAACACCTCCTCAGCCCTGCCGTCAGCACTGACCGTCAGGGTAAGAGTGAACATGAATGACAGCCTCTCACTCAAACTACTTACCGAAGAACTGGACTCTGCTGCCAGTCTTGCCGCGTACCTGGCGATCAGCCTGTGTTCTTCATCAAGCCTGTTTGAACTCTCAAGCATACTATTGAGAACAGAGCAAGAAGGAGACTGTTAGGCAATGAGAAAGATTGATGTGTTCCTATCACTGCCAGGGGGGTTTGCTATTTCAATTTTTTGGTGCAAAAATTTGAAAGCTATACAAAACCCTGTTAGGTTAATGATCTCAGACTTGGATTCATGACATGATCTACTATGTGGCCAGGAAGTTTCATTAATAAATCCTGTCTTCAGTTGATTCAATGTCTTACTAAGAAAACTCCAAAGAACAGTGACTTTTCTCATCAACATATCTGATAAAAGAATATTTTCTCTTTAATTTTATTGCCTGTAACATTTTTATTTAAATATCAGAAAATATGGAAGCAAGACACAACCCTCCCCGCCCCGCCAATTGTGGGGTGCCTGGGTGGCTCAGTCCGTTAAGCGTCCAACCTTTGATCTCAGCTCAGGTCTTGAACTCAGAGTTGTGAGTTAGAGCCCCACATTGGGTTCTACGCCCAGCATGGACCCTATGTGACAACAACAACAACAACAACAACAACAACAACACCAGCACCACAACAGTTGTGGTTGGCCTGCAGTGATCACCACCTCCTGGTATTCACATTTGTGTGTAATCCTCTTCCTTTGGTATGGGCTGGGCTTACTGGCTAGCTTTTAATAAATAGAATAGAGCAGAAGTAATGGAAAGTCACTTCCAACATTAGGCTATAAAAAAGGCCATGGTTTCCATCTTGAGTATGGTTTCTCTCTCTTGAGCTCATTTGGATTCCTTGCTCTTGGGAAGCTAGCTGCCATGTTATAAGGCAGCCTGTGGAAAGACCCATGTGATAAGGAACTGAAGCTAGCCAATAATAACCTTGTGAATGAAAGCTCATAGGTAGAGCCTTTAGATAAGATAGCAGCCCCAGCCAACAGCTTAATGGCAACCTCATGAAAATCCTTGAGCCACAGGCACCTAGCTGGATTCCTGACCCCCTATGGGATAATAAACGTTTGTTCCTTTAAGACGCTAAGTTATTGGATAATTTGTCATGTAGCAACAGATAACTAATACAAATTGTTATCTATAATATTACTACTCAGGTAACTTGCCATTTTATATTTACTTCTAGAAAAATGGAATTATAGCAGTGGCTTCTAATGACATTAATGGGAATTTTTTATTGTCTCATATAATTATAGAAATTGTTCATACTAGAATAAGAATGATCTGAGCCCTTAAAAAACTAAAGCAAATAGAAGCATTGCAAATTTCCCAATTTTCAGAACGTTCTTCACTCAAGACAAAGTTTTGCATGCCATTAAAACAATTCCATGAAACATACCAGTAACATCAATCCTGTTAACAGACTAGTTGATTATAGTTTGGTTTATCAGTTATTACGGTAAGTATCGGGTCAGAATCAAGATTAGAAACTAGTTTCTCTCATCCCTAAATATATTCTCCTCCATTTATATTTCCTACCTGTTATTCTTAAGCCTGTTTCTTAAAGAAAAAAATTCAATACTCATGATTATACACTGAAAGTAAAACACTTCTATGCCAATATTAAGGTTGTAAGAATTGTCCGTTGCAAAGAATTGAATTTATATAGAGTAATATACACTTGTATTATTTATATGTGTATTAAAATATAAAGTAAATATGCAACATAGTCTTTTAACATTTGTTCTAAAGTGAGAAGATGAGTGAAAATCATTATGTGTTTCCAGAATATTGGCTATGTCACTTCCAAATAGCTTTTCACTGGCTGGCTGAATCCATTACTGTAACTTTTTTTTTTTTTTTTTGGTCATTCAGAAAACATTCCTGTCTCCATCATCTCTGCTCCAGTCTATACTCCTCACGTATGTAAACTATACCTGTTCCCATCCTGAATACTTCCACTCTAGATTTAGCTCTTTTCTCTGGGCTACAATAACTACCTGGAATATTCCTGAATATCTACATTTACCAAGTCACTTTTCCATCCTCAGTAAAAGTCTTCTCTTCCCTTTTGCCCACATGAGATAATGCATGTAAAACACATCAAGTTAGTATGATGCCTAGAACACATTAAGTGCTCAAAAGTCAGTTAATTCTTGTAATTTTGCCTCTTAAGTAACCTGCTCAGATTCATTGATTCATGTCTCCTTCAAAATGTCATCTCCCATCCAACAACCATGCAGAGTAGGGCTTCTTAAACTTTAGTGTATGCACTTATCACCTAGGGATCTTGTAAAAGATGTAGTTTCTCATCTGTAGTTGGGGGTGACAGTGTAGGTTGGGGGGCGCAGAACCTGAGAATCTGCAGTCCAAAGAAGCTTCAAGATACATTGATACTGCTGGTCTAAGGGAAACCTTGAGTGGCAAGGATCTAGAAGATCTTGAAAATAAAATGGAAAATCTAAACACATGAAATAAACCCCAAATGCAAGCCATATGCAAGAAATAATATGAGTGTTTAACTGATATTCATATAGCATATATGATATTTTATAAACATTCCTTAACACAGAAAATTCTAGATTTCCATCCTCACATATGTGTGGTACCAATCCCCACAGATTGAGATTTCAGTCAGCATACAAAAGACTTGGAGTAAGAAAATAACTGTAACAGCAAAAGGAGTTAGTTCTGGAGAACTGATGCCTTAAAGCAGAAGTTTGTCTCTAGAATGCAATGTCTGCCCTCTGTAGTGGTTAAAAATAATAAATGAATTTCTTGTTACAGCTTTAATAAGAAAAAAAAAGTTACACTCTTTTCACTTTAAACTTAAAACTACTCCGCAAAGAAACAATTTAATTTGATTTTAATATGTTTATCATTTCTCACTGGTATTAGAAATAATATGTCTAATTCAGCCCAGTTTGTGTAGACAACAGGGCCCATTGCTCTAAGCCCAGGGCAATGATCCATTTGTCAGAGAGTGACTTTGTCAAAAACATCTGTGAGTGTTTTGATAAATAAATAATAAAAAAACTTGATAAAAAAACCTCTTGATAAAAAGTATCTTTTATCATGAATGACCAGCAAGTATAAATAATGTAAAGGTACATAAAAAAAAAAGCCTCTTGGAGATGTAAGATGTGAAGTTATGGGATCATGTCTAGTAAGCTATAACTCATCCTTCCATGCCTTTCCTCCCCCAGCCCTGACTGAATGAGGGGTGGAGTGATACATTACCCCTTTGTGCACGCACACGATTTATGAGTCCACATGTGCCATTTCAGTATGTTCACATTATCCAAGGGTGAATGAGGCATGCCTCTGATAAATTCCATTATTTCAAGACTTCAATTACAAATAGTTGAAAATGAATGGCCAATAATCCCTAAATCATCAAAGAAATACCGATTCCAACAGTTTCTCCGTCTCTGGCTATTCATTTCAAGACTTTATAATCAGTAATCTTGCTACAAGACCATGATGAATTAAAAGGTGGCTGCTGTGAAGGCTGCATTTCAGAGCAGGGAAATCTATTATTTTGAAAGCTCTCCACTTTCTACCTTCAATGCATGGCCAGTGGGTGTTGCTAGTGATTTCAAAATGGCATTCTAGGCAGCTCAAGTGGCCTCGGCTGAGGTCGGGCTTACTAAATTGTGATTTAGCAAAGATTTCTGGGAACCTAGGATGTGTTCACATTTCTTTGGTTTCTCTGTAAGCCTGTTCTGACTTCCCAGGTGGGACAGTCAACCAAATAATAATGTGGTCCAAAGGGCAGCAGAAATACTTTCATGTTTTCTCGTAATATTTTTCCATTTGTTTGAATGGGTGAAAGGAATTTTATCAGTAGAGGTTTATTTTTAAGGTCGTTAGGCCTCCTGCACCACGCTTCTATTAGCAAGCAGCGAAGAGTAGGATTACTGCCTGGGAAGGCATTCCTAGTTGCACTGAAGCGGAGGATTACTCTATCAGGTTATTTCCTACCTTTTGCAGTAGGTTGAGAGCAAAATGCTCCGGCAATGGAGCCTTGTTCAGGCCTTCAAGAGTCAGTGAGCAGAAGAGAGTCAGGGTGGAAAGGAGCAAAGTGATTCCGGGGCCCAGGACGTGATTTTATGGGACTGAAGAATGGGGAGGGAAATGAACTAACTCTCAGAGCTTCAACTGTTGGCTCTTGAATGACTGGTTTGAAAGGAAAAGGCAGGAAATCATGAGATGGCAATCTTCCTGGGTAATAGTAATAAAATTGACCATGATAATGGCATCTCTGTAGGGATGCCTTCAAACTCCTTTATCGAGACCCTGACTTTACCTACTCACTATGTTATAACACCAAGGCCATGCGTTCTACCTTCTTCAAACACACAAATTTCTCTGTTTCCTTCTATTCCAAGGGTCACTGATGTGCTCCAGGCCACTGTCATCTTATGTGGAATTAGCATACAGCCCTCTCAATAGGTTCCTCTTATTTTAGACTTATTCTTCCTTCCAATTCATTTTGCATCCTGTAGTCAATGATCTTTTAAAAAATGAATTTGGCTGTAACATGCATAGAATCCTTCAATGGGTTCTCAGTTTTTAAACTCCTACCTAAGACTTAGGAGGTCCTGCATAATCTAGCTTCATCCTTTACCTCCCGGTACTCTAGCATCCTTCCTCAGTTGAGTTCTTCAAGGAGAAGTTCCACATTTTCTCTCTGCTCTGAACAATCTCTCTGCCTCCTCCACCCACTTCCACTTGGCCCATTCCTCTTCATCCTGCTGTTGGCTTTAGCGACCATTTCCCACCTTTGCCTCTGACCTCTAAATTTGGGTTTGTTGCTCCTCGGCACTCAGCACTGTCTGCCCTTCCGGTACCTGGTACCCTTCCCGTTTTAATTGCCTTTTCACCTGTCTTTCTCCTTTATTAGACTGTAGCTTTTTTGGGGGAAGAATGGTTCAATCTTTTCACCATTAGATCTTGAATGTTTAGCACAGTGCTTGGAACACAGCAGGACATGTCTGAGCGTTAGTGGGACAAAAGAACAAATACAGGTTAGCTCTCTTTGGCTTGCAGTGTCATGGACTTTGGCCCACATCTTCTATATCCTTCTTGGC